ATGTGCATATATACTTTAATTATCGTTTTGCATAGCTGAAATTCATCTACGAAGAAGTCTCAAGCATTTAAAAAAATCTCTTCATGGTTTAGACAGATGAGACGATGAGCGATAATGAACAGTTGAGAGCTTCCTTATATGGAAATCTACGATTCAGATTCATTATGATTTCCTCTACATAACTCTTGGGTATAGAAATAGTAGATGTCGTATAGGACCAGGTTTTGATATTTTTCGGGCTCTGCAGTCAGCCGACTTTTCTAGCCGGCCTTGGGCCGGGTAGAGGTCTAGTTTTTAGTTTTATTTTTGAAACAATCATCTCTTTTTACTTTATGCATTGATAGCTTTTTGATTTATAGTTTCACAATCAATCGTTTAATGCTGTTAAGATATGAAATACATAGAAGATAACATATTCTATGATAGATAATTTCGAACTATTAACTAGTTTTTCGACTCATCAAGTAATTAGGCCATAATGGATCTCATTTTCGAAATAATAAAATGTATTTATAATCTGGAACTTTGTGATCATATAAAATCAACAGTGTTTAGAATATTTTATCGATAGTTTTCTTTTAACATAATGCATAATGTAGAAAACTTGATTTTTCTCTTTGCTTTGTATTATATTAGAATTGTCTTGGACTTAGAGTAAAAAAAAACGTTCATTAGACTGTCAAAAGCATCTTTAGGTAAAAATTTCGTATGAAATTTTTTCTATTCCAATTTTTAGAAATAGTGTACAACGTATTTGTAGTTGTAATAAAATAATCATAATTCAGGAAGAAAAATCAAGGATTGTTTTTAGTCTTACTAACGTCTATTTGTAATGAAAAAGAGGATTAAAAAATGAAACAATAATTTTTACAATCTTTTATCGTGATATTTTAGAGCAATAAAATATAGAATGACATTCTTGTGTGTTTGATCTACATAAAAAAATACTCATTTGATTTTTCCGATTTTAATACATTATTATAAATTTATGGTAAACGTATTATTTCACATGCAAAGCTAGACAAATATAATGAATATTATCACTGATTTTTTTTCCTACTAAATAATATTTTTGTATGGTGAGATGTACAACAAACTTTCAATTTATATAAAATCTTTCTTTCAAATTATTTGTACTGTATATAAGATGAAAAGCTACTGTCACTTCTCTTATTATGGACTAGAGATGAGTAAAAGACAGACAATGTGCAGTCAACGTGTTGTCTTGTCCTGTTGCTGAGCAAGACAAGTGATCATCTAGTGACAGGACAAGACCTACATATTGATCCTGCATTTTTGATACGCTATTTTTGGGTTAGTCAATGTTTAGCATAGGAAAATTTAGTACAGAAATGTCAGCACACGAAATGATCATTACAAGGAAAATTTACCACCACGATGTTAAGCACAAAAGAATTCAGCTTGATGAACAATAACGCTCTAAAAACATTTATTCAGAAACTCAAAAAAGTTTTAACAATTGTACAACAGCTTAGAAAAAGATCTTCTGTAATTATACGGGAAAGAATCGTCACTATCGAATCCACATCGATTTCGAATTCACGTACGGAACCTTGTTAAAGTTACCCGAACTGACAAAATATTCGCAGGCAATTCTAAGTCTTTTGGATCTTGTATAAAAACTTTTAAAGATTTTTCGCATATCCCCAAGAAAAATACTGAGAGGTTTCATATCATTATAAGTACAGAACCTTATGGTCGGCGTCATATGTGAATCTTTTTCAGACTCCATTGAGTCCAGGCATATAACTAATCTAACCTCGTTTTGGTCGTCTAGACGGATCAATTCAAGTTTAGATTTCGCTTTAGAATTCGGATACTGAAACTATCTAACCAGTTCAGCTAGCATCGAATATTTAGATGATTATTCAAGCTCTTCTTGAAGTTTATGAGTTGTAATGAAAGCCCTGTAAGGTTCGGCCAAATATCAGTTCGGTTATTTTCAAACATTGTTAATCTTCTTTTAGGATGCTTGTAGTTGTTTCATTTTGTGGATCCGCTATTTTATTGTGCATAGATCTATTATGGCTAACTTTAAAATCCCTTCTTTTGACTTACTATAATTTATTTTCATTAATTAATTGAAAATGACTGTGCTCAAGACCAAACTTGGACATTTAGACTCGGTGCATATCTAGTTGATTCTAACAATAATCTTGATAAGTGAATTCGAAATATTTGTGAACTCGGTAGTGAAGATCCTTTTTCGCATAGTCACAGAAAGATCTTTTCTAAAATATTGTACAGTTGTCGAGCCTTTTTTTGAGTTTTCCAGTAAACTTTTTTGAGACTGTGATTGTTCTTCATGTTGAATTTTCCCGTACTTAACTTCCTGGTGCTGAATTTTCCTATTCTGAAATTTCTGTATCTCGAAATTGTGGAATTCAATTGAGCTGCTTAAGTTGTCGATGCTAGAATTCACTAAAATATATTTTGATTTGCAAATAACTATCTATTATTAACACATATTGATAATGAAAGCTGTTAATTGTAAAATATTGTGATGAGTGTGGAAGAACAGAAAAGATGGATAACTTAAATTTAGCCATATTTTTACACTATTTCTGCAACAGTTCTCGATTTTGCGAGTATGTCTGTCAAAGTCTATAAGGAAGAAGCGGCAGTAGTAAATTGTCTGACGTAGTCTGGAATGAACTGTAACTAGAATATCCCTCACGTCCTGAGGATGATAATGAGAGTCCAAATTTCTGTTCACATACTTCAACAATCTTTTTCGGTTACATTTCACATAATATAAACAGTCAATGTAGAAAAAGTTGTTCTGTGATTATCTTTTTTTATGAACCGATTTTTGTAAATATAACTTTAAGTCCAAATTCTTCTCCTATTAAAATTAATTACGAATAATCAAAATCAATTGTTTTAGGCTCGTTTTGCAAAACGTTATGGATTACATGGTATTACATTATCATCAATAGGAATGGATGATGTTACTGGAGAATGTGGACAAGGTCCTTATCCCTTATTACATGCTGTTGCTGATGTTTTCGATTTATATATTAATAAATCATCAGGCATGTGAAATATTTTTTATCAAAGTTTTCTTTTTAATTTATTAATTTTAGTTTCAAAAAATGTAGATGAATTAAAAATAGATTCTAAACAAAAGCATATCTTATGTTCAATAAGTTCAATAACAAAAACATATTATAGTTCAATACCTTTTACATTGGATAAAATTGATGTTCGTCTTTGTACACATTTATTAATTAATTGTAATAGCTCTTTATTATCATCATCAATTTCTGATAAATTAAAAAAAATAAATTCGAATTTAAAAATTCTTCTTAAAATACAATTAAATGATGATGATATAAATATAAATCAATTAAAAATAGATATTAATGATAAAAAAGTTGACGGTATTAATATAAATATTAATTCAAAAACATTTTCAAATAATATAACTGAAATAATTAAGGTATTTTTTTTTATACAGAAACAATGAAAACAAAAAAAATCATAAAAAATATTTATTTTAGACAATTCGAAAATCATGGTCGAATAAATATTTATTAACAATTTCATTTCAAGTTCCAACAGATTCAACTGATCAAACATCATTTCTTCAAATGATTGAATTACATAAGTAGGTTTTTTTTATATTTCAAATAGTAAATTTATTTTTTTATTGAAAATTTTTAGATATTTTGATTTACTTATTCTTCTTCCGTTCGATAAAAAATCCATAGAAAATTATAATAATATTCAACCATGGAATAGTCTCTCTTCTTTTATACCAGTTAATCCAACAAAAAATATTGGAGATTTTTCTATGGTTTAAAAAAAATACTAATTATATTATTTTTAATATTAATTTATTTTTATCAAATTTAGATATCAATACTTCATTTTGTTCTTTCAACTGGTTTACCAAAAGAAAAATTAATTATGAGTATTCCAACATATGGTTTAGCATTTAAATTAGAAGATGAAAACAAATATCAAATTGGTGATCATATAGCAAAAAAAGATTTTTCAGACCGTATTATACATAAAGTTGGAATACTTTCTTATCATAAAGTAAAATTTTTAAATATAAAACATCAACTAGATTCATTTTTTTTGTTATTTAGATTTGTCATCGTATTCAATCGCATCATTATAAAAGAATTTTTAATAGTCAAAGTATTTTAGTTACTGCTCATTCAGAGAAAAACTTTATTATATTTGATGATATAGAACCAATAATGTTAAATAATAATATTAGTATTAATGGCACAATTGAATTAAAAGCAAAATTTATAAAAAATTCACAATTAGCTGGAGTATTAATAGATTCAATTGATATGGATGATTACACAGGTGTATTTTGTCATAATGGTGTATTTCCAATCACATCAACAATTTTTCGTGTATTCTTTAATGAAACAACATCTAAAAGCTCAATTAATATATGTGCAAATGTGAAAACACTGGAAATTCTTCCAGATGAAAATGATTCACGTTATTATTACGTATGCCAACCCAATTCAGACAAACCATATGCTCATCTCATGTGTCCATTAAATATGTATTTCCAAGATAAATATTGTGTTGAAGAACTATCAGTAAGTTTTGAATATATTTCTATGTTAAAGTTTTACACCGGACTTTTTTTTTATTCATCAAGTTTTTATAGACGTCTTGTAGTAGCATTAGTATTAAATAAACGTTAATACTTGGACATTAGAATGAATTCTTAAGTCTAAGGGAGAAAAACCATACTTCTGTACTTCTTCATACTTGTTGATGCATCTTCGTACTTCATAACAGCAGAGGTATACTTTTGCCCTTTGATTAAATCGAATTCTTTCGCATGATTGACATTAGAATTAATTAATGCGAGGATGTTAGGATTAAATTAGTATTATTTCTAATTCTCATACATATACTACTCGTCGTAACTATTTAAAGCCTAGCTGGACATGAAATTTGCAACTTTCAAATAACTATCTCAGCATCATACTTGCCATTTTTTTAAAGACGATTTAAACATGATATCTGTAACTTTTTTAAGTTCTCTCTGGACAATACAGGGTATCATAAAAGTCCTGTCCACTTAAGAAATGCTTATGACTCTATTGTTAAACAAGCTTAATTTAATTTTTTTTTATTCCGAGAGGAGATCATAAAGTTTTTTTTTTGTAATAAAAAGTTTATAAATACTCTTTAAAGAGTATCACTTACAACTGCAACATAAAAATGTTGCATTTCTTCAATATCAAAAAAAAGGTATGCAATGTTTTTTCTATATTTAATTGAATTTTTCTTGTCATTATGAGCTCAAAATCATTATCATCCCTTATCTTTGTTCTACAACCATTTATTGGACATTTTTTAAGAAGATCGATCAACTGGTATATATTTATAAAGCATATTTTCTCTGACAAGCAGGAGCTTGCTTAATTAATAAAATCAAAGTATCGAACGATTTCAAGGCTCCTATTATCATAAAATTTCGCATTCTTGCATTCTTTTTATAAGAAAAAATGGAAATAAATGCTGTTAAAATAATAGTACCACATGATAATGATTTTAACACTTTATTACTCATAGCATTTTCAGAAGAGCCACTGGGAAAATAACTTTATTCATGGAGTACTAGTCCTTCTAGTATGTTAATGTTGTGGTTTGATCCATTGAATGTCCTGCTCCTAGAGTAGGGCGGTTTGATTGATCCCATGCTCTTGTGCTGGAGAAAAGGAATTGAACTACATTGTAATACTTAATTTTTTTTTTGACCACGTTATTGACTGGGCTAAAGCAACATATATATCGTGCTATTAGAGTAACGGAAAAAGGCAAGTAGTGAACCTAAAACATTTTAAACCAAAGAATACATGTATTTTTTATACGTGTTGTCAAGTTATAGCCTAATTTGTTCTGAGACGTTTTATAGCCTGTGGAGAAATGTAATTCATCATATATATGATTTCGACTTGGCATGAGTTGAGCTTTATAATACATGTATTAACTTCGCTCTTGATTACTCTTCATCTGCTATATAGTGGCTACATGGTCAATTGTGTCCCTTTATATCTGTCGTCCACGAAGGACATATGAAACTTTCGAAACATATTTCGTTGATCGGAGGGCTCCTTCATCAATTAATATCACACGGCAATTCCAAAAAATCTCTGTTGACTAAGAGTAGAGATCATTTTATTTCAAAATTTTCGATTTTTTTTCATTTTTTCAAAATTACCGCTTTTGTAGACCCGAGATTCCAGTAAAGAAGCAATGAAAGGAAATGTTCTTTTTACCAATGGATAGTCCATGAAGTTTGCTACAAAAAAGGTTGTTGTTTTTTTTTGAATCCGATGCTTCCTTTAATTTCTGTAATTGTTCTACAAATGGTCACTCCAGTGACCAATGGAGGGGAGGGGGGGGGGGGGGGGGGGTAAAGGGTTAAGTTCACAATAATAAAATAAATTTAATTAAATATAGAAAAAACGTTGCATACTATTTTTTTACATTGGAAAAATGCAACATGTTTATGTTGCAGCTGTAAATGATACTTTTTAAAAAGTATTTATAAATCTTATATTAAACAAAAAAAAATTTTATGGTCTCCTCTCCTAATAAAAAAATATATTAAATTAAACTTATTGAATAATGAAGTTATAAACATTTCTAAAGTGAACATGACTTTTGGGACACTCTATAATAAATTCTAATGCCTATGATGCCAAAGCATTAGGTTTAGTTTTAATACTATTGCTGAAAGCATTAGAGTTAATCTTAATTACAATAAAATCTCTTTATAGTGGACATTCTGGATACTTTTCAGAGTATTCCTGATATGGAAGTGTTCATTATGAAGAGGTTAAATATTTTTCAAAAGCGAAGGTTTTTCGAAGAAACAGACATGTTTTTTTTAAAATACCTGAAAAAATGTTAATGAACCAAAGAATTGACTCCAATATGTTAGTAATTCTCTGCTCGTCGTCTATTTTTATCTTTAAAAATAACGTTGAAAATCAACAATTGTTAAATAATTATTGATAAAGCTCTGTTTTTTTCAATATTCGAATCTAGAGAACATGAGAGCTAATTATGATTTGAGACTGGAGGCGAGCATATGTATTTGAGACTGTTGACAGGACAAAGAAAACAATATAGTTTTTTCATCATCTCCAATATTCCATATAAATCGATTGGTTTCCGCCGAAGAGCTATTCTCTTTCTCTTTCTCGATTAAATCTCAACCAGTCTCTTCAGATGTTCATTAGCATTCCAGTTGTTAGATGCGTGGATGAGACAATTGAAGTCAACAGCCAGTAATTACTGATTAAAGATTCGAGCTATTTTCTTCGAACTACACAGGGTAGTGTTCACTATACAGAGGTTCGATTTCAGTAAAAATTACTCTGCATAACAGTGAAACCATGTTCACTATACGGAGTTATTCACTATATAGAGGCGTCTACTACAAGAAGTTTTACTGTATATCTTTTTTTCTTATCTTATTTTGTTTATTCCTAGATATGGCGCAAATATATGAACATATTCAAAATTTGGCTATTAATAATTATTATCTTTGTGATTGTTATATCATTGATGATGTGGATTTGGTCGGAATATGGTACATCAATAATTAATCTATTAGCTAGCTTGAGAGATCTTATGCCCAGAGAATTTGGTATTCATTTTGATGTGAGACTTTATTTCCCACACCCTCATCGTCAATAATTTTTTTCCTTCTATTTTTCTTTTGTTTTTTGTTTTCTTTTTCTTCTATTTTTTTCTCCCTCTCTTTGTGTCTTTGGATGTTTATATGGGCGCAATATCATAATGATCCTGGTGGTTTTTATCTTAAAAATATTGATCCAAATTTTTGTGCACATTACAAATATATAAAACTTCGTGATGATATTTTAATTATTGGTTATGATAATTTAACATTAAGTAATGATTGATATCATACTGATCTTGAATATATAACAAATATTGGTTTATATGATAAAATTATAAAACAAATGAAAAGAAAAAAACAAAATGAAAAATGACGAATCAAAATATGAAATGTTTACAAATCGATGGACGACAAGTATAATGTTAATTCATATTTTTTAAAATATTTTATTTTTATATTCAATATGATATTTGATGATGGGCAATTTAGTGTTCTATTAGATGATGGTACTACTAATGCATTAATATAAGATAACAGTAAATAAATATGATTAACATAAAAAAAGAAAATTGTTTTATTTTAAAAACAAGTAAGTTCTTTCTGCTATTAATCAAATTCTTCAACAAATTGATGACGTTCTTCGTATGAACGGTTGTTTTATATGTATAACATTTGCTCAAAAACATATGCTTAATTATATATTACAATATTTGTTTAATAACAAGTATGATAGTAGTTTGAGAAATAAAATATGTTAAAAATAAACATTCTTTCGATCATGACTTCTTTATTATCATCATATTCATACAAGAAAATCATTTGTGTTATCTGCATTTGTATTTGTTTTTACAAAAATAACAATGAAAAATCCAGTATGTTGAAGTTAATTATATAGACCATACTGTTTATTAATATAAAATATTCTTAAAAATTTAATAAATCAAGAGAAAAATTTTTAGAAAATTTTAAAGACATTTTCACTTTTTATAAGCAAAATTTTGCCATAACTTGCCACTAGAAGCTCGTAGCTTTAAGGAGGCTTCGCTATGAGACTGTTTTCCTGATTTTTTAATAGCGACCTGATTTTCCTGTTTTTGATTGAAAATCGTGATTTTATCCTAACTTTTTATGATTCATCTCTATAGAACTAAATTTACACAATTATGACGCGTTCTTTTTTTATACTAACACGGAAACATTTTCAACTGTCCAATCGCTTTTGAGTTCGAATTCTGCGCACGAGGTAGATCGCAGTAAGATGCGAAAAATTTCACAAGGATAAGTACCCATGGATATTTTGTCCAGTGTTATAAGGATTTTACTGGAATTTTAGTCTGTGGCACGGTATATACCATTAGATCGAATGACGATATTTTGACCTGAAATTGTTTCTACAGATAGATCCATTTATGAGTAGAATGAACTTAAAATTTCAACTAAAAAATATTTTCTTTCCGAGATGTTAAACTCCTCAAAATCACTGCTATCCCACCCACGATACTACAATTTTCTGTTTTTTTTTGCAGTTTAATATTGAGAGAAGAAAAAATTATTTTGAGTTAAAATGTTTCAGATATTCTACTCATAAACAGACCTATCTGTAAAGAGAATTTTAGGTTGAAATACCGTCATTCGATTTATTGGTATATACCATGTCATAGACTAAAATTCCAGTAAAACGCTTATAGCTTTAGATGGAAGGCCTATGGGTACTATCATTTTTGAAATTTTTCATATATCACTGGGGGGGGGGGGGGGGGGTCTAGCTAGTGAACAGAATCCAAACTCAGCAACGATTTGGCAGTTGAAAACTTTCCCTCGTAAGATCATCTCTATTATACACAATACATTAGAATGAATTAGCTATTTTGCCTTTTTATAAGCCATCGAGAACAAATTCAATTGATATTTTCTAATCTAAGCAACCATTTTGAATAAAATTCGGTGCTTTTCGACATTTGAGAAGATCTAATTCAAAAGGATAGATCTTCCAGAGATAAATGTTTATAACATTGTATTAGTTTAATATATGGAGTGGAACACAAACTAAACTAAACAATAAGAAAGAAAGTACGAAAAGAATGAAGCACGATTAATAGTGTGTATCTAAAGAATATCACTTCGTTGTAGAACATATTCCTTCTCAATTAGTTATGACATTTATTGAAGCAACATAATATGTTTTAGTTTCAATTAATCATCAGTACTTCATACATTTTTATGCAGATTTGCTTCTAAATAGCAATATCAGAATAAATTTTACGATGTTCTGATTTTTACCAAAATTCTTAAGTTTTTCTTGAATATTCTTCTGTCTGTTTTCCTCATTTCGACACATAGGGCGTTGTGAAACCTGTTTTAGATTTTCTTTAGTCATACAGAAAGCAATCTACATCGTACTGCATCATTTCTCGTTATTAGTACAGTTTCTTATTGAATCTTATCAAGATGATTGACCATTTTTTTCAATAGTATTACATATCTCCAAACTCATATTTTCTGAAGGTTATTTTTTATTATTCGACGTTGTTAGAAAAAGAGATTATCGAATAATAAATTATTGAATATAGAGCAGTAAATGCTGAAGAGAAAAACAGTGAAATTAAGAACATTGAATAGAAAAATTTGAAAGAAAAATCTCAAAAAGGCGAATGGCAAAAATAAAGTTTTTGCTGTTCCATGAATATTCATGAAAAGAAATATTTTATATATAAGAAAGATCGAACAGTGCAAGTCGCCGTTTCGGATAGGATTTATAGCAGGTTGTAGAGTTCGACACTATCCTCATGATGATATTAAACGTTCATTCTCATAGATTATCTTTGAGAAATTAGAAAAATTTCAACTTCAGAAATGTCGTTCGTTGAGAAAGGACGGAACCGAATATGCTAGCAAAATTGGTCCTATTTAAAATTTCTTTCGTTTTTCTTCATTATTCAAGTAGACTCTGAAGCCATATCTTGTGTATAGATCACTCTAAGTGTGTCCTAACAAAGTGCAAAGACAAGAAGACTTGAAATGTTTGATCAATATCTTTTAATAAAGCCACAATGGTATTTCTATACCAATACTTTTGAGTTTTTTAAAAGGTATTGATCAAACATTTCAAATCTTCTTGTCTTTGCACTTTGTTAGGGCATACTTAGAGCGATCTATGAATTAAAAATGGCGTCGGGATCTGTTCAAATAATGAAGAAAAGGAATACAATTTAAGGTAAAGAGAAGGGAAATTTTTTATAATTTTCAAATAGGGCCAATTTTGCTAGCATATCCACCTGTGCTTTGATTTTTATAATGCAGCGTTCAAAACTTTAGCAATGGATACGTTAGGAGCGCTAATTATATCTGTAGTTTGAATAACTCAATACAGTAGATGTATGAAATTGAACTAACCTCTGTTGCAAAAGTCTTTAGACAAAATGTCTATTCATTTTTCAGCCGCCTAAACGTCATTAATGAGAATCAAAAGTAGTTAGCTAAAATCAGATTTTTGTGCTCTTTTCGAATATCTGATCAGAATATTTCACTGACTCAATATTGACTAGGGACAAGCCAAATGTTTGACAGAGTCGAAAATGATGTTCGTACAGAATTTTATTGGATGTATTTTTGTATTTTGATCGATATCTACTCTACGCAAAACATGAAAGATATTTTCATCAGCCAATTTTATAAAGCGAAGTTTGCTCTACAAACTATGCTATTTAGTTTGGTTTTCTATCTCGAAACAAATACATGCAATCTGTTGTATTATAAATAGAAGATCTTGGAAAACTGACTTTTTGGCAGGATTCTATTTTACATACCAATCAGCTCTCAGAAAAACGTCTACAACCTTTTATTCATTTGAGTTGAAGCCTATTGTCATATATGGTTTTATAGAGAATTGAATGCTCTACAAATTGCAAATTTCGAACTGCTTCAAAATCCAACTTCCATAAGTAATGAATAGCGGGAAAACATGTGTTTTCTTCATCGAGATGTCATTCTTCGCCTCTTTCAAGTATTAACTTACAGCTAACCAATCTTAAGCTAAAGAGATATCCTGAACACATATCAGAAAAGAGCAGATAAGACTGACTCTAAGGATCTACTTTTGGTTCGTATCAAATACTTTTAGCGGCTGAAAGATGAACAAACATTTGCAGAATGACTTTTTTGTACAGACATCATTTTTCACTCTGTCAAACATTTGGCCCATTTCTAATCAATGTTAAGTCAGAGAAATATTCTGATCAGATATTCGGAAAGAGCACAAAAATCTGATTTTAGCTAACTGCTTTTGATTCTCACCAATGACCTTTAGGCAACTGAAAAATGAATAAACATTTTGTCTAAAGACTTTTGCAACAGAGGTTATTTTGGTAAAATTTTTTAAGAATACAATTGATGATATATCTCAAG